TTAAAAATACATAAATCAATTTAGTAGATATTTAGATTACGAGCAAATCAAACTATGCAAGTACATATCTATGGACCTCTAAGATACTCCTAAGTCAATATAAAAACCTTCAAGCTATCCATCTTGGTCTATCTTGAGTTGTTACAGCTAAAATTTTGATTGAACTTGAGTTGTTCAATGTACATCCTATATAAATAATTATAATGTACATCCATCAAACCATTACACCTGAAATACTTAGAACACAAGAATATATTTGCTATCATTAAAATCACTAGAGAAGGTTATGAGATAGATAGTACCAATAGAACATTCATAACTTACTTGATTTTGTTCCCATTCTCAAACATATTTCTCTTAAAAAATTCTCATAAACTTTGGAGCTTATGTAAAACATCCCAAACAATTATTAGGTTTTTCCAAGGCCAAGAGATTCTTCTTTTATAAACCTTAATTCTATTATGGCCATCATCACTCCCTCATTCTAATATAACCTTGTCTTAGATAGCCAACCTTTTAATTCCATCTTGAGTCCTACATGCTACCAACCACATTCTTAGGGTTCTTAAGAGATACTATACATCATCTATTGCAAGCATAATCCTCAACATAATTATATAAAAGACCTTATCATTTTCATGTAAGATCTACTGATTTGAATTAGATAATTGGAGAGCTTTTTATGAATACAAGAATTATCATCATAAGGTTGAAGTGAGAAAATTATCGTACGTAATTTTTTAGTCACCAAATGTATAGAATATGATCACCTTTCCCTTTTTTTTTCCTCTTACACCATTCTTCATGATTTATTTCTTTAAAGTGTTCATACATACATTGAAAAATTCTCAACATTGCTAAAAGATAAAATTAGACTTGGTGAATGAAACAATCATCATTATGAGGAAGAACATAAGAAAATGATAAAAGTGATAAAAAATCAAAATTTATTTTCCAACATTCAATTTTTATCCTATTTAATAACACCATTCTCGCTCCATGATGTGCATCATTTGTAGCCATACTCATCCCACAAGGTTGTCAATCTTTAGTAGAGATATTCCAATAATCAATACTTATAAATTTCTTTAACCTAACCTTCTTACAAGATTTAATATCAATTTAGTATAGGGTAAGAATATCCCATAATTTTTACTAATAAAAGTAATAACTTTGCAGAACAAAGTTTTTAAAAGGGGAGGAGAATTTATGTAGGATCATGATGGCCTCATGAAGTGAGTAGATTTTAACAAAATTTAAACTCCATTACCAAAGTTGGATGGCTGGCCTCCTAAAAAATTTCCATTATTAAGATTTTTCGAAGTTTTTAAAAGGGGAGGAGAATTTATGTAGGATCAAGATGGCCTCATGAAGTCAGTAGATTTTAACAAAATTTAAACTCCATTACCAAAGTTGGATGGCTGGCCTCCTAAAAAATTTCCATTATTAAGATTTTCTTCATTACACACCCTAATTTCATTAAGGACATGATCGTGCTGCATCTTTGTATGGCCTCACCTTGGTTGGCTGTCCTTAACACTTCCACCTTCACTCCATGCTACCAACCACATTCTTCGAGATACTAGATATCACCTATAACAATTACAAACCTTGACATAATTATTTATAAGTCTCTACAATGATTATAAGGGAAATGAAAGAGGTTGATTATGGATAATGGTGAAGTCTATTTAGCTAGGTTGTGTATAGTGAGATTGATTAGGAATGTTTGCTTATGAAGATAAATAGGGATAAGGGTGGTTAGATGATGATGAGGACAATAACGATTAAAATTCTAATTTTGGAGTGCTAGCTCATCACTTTATATATTTTGACGAAGCATATCTTAGGGAAAGATATTAGTGCTTGAATTAAAAAAAAAAAAAAACAACTTAAATTTTCACAAAAATATTATTGCTTTTTAAATCATGCAACATTTAATTATCGAATTAAAAACATTCATCATAAATTTCTATTTTATTAAATTAAATTTCATATGATTTTAAAATAACCTAATCATGAATCATGTTAAAAAAAGGAATAAAAAAAATGGTAATTGCAAATCATGATCAAGTTATGGATCATTCATTAACTTTATGATAAAGAAATAAATTTTTTATCTTAGATAAAAATCCATTTATATTAATTTTAATAAATTTCATTTTTTAACAAATGTAAAAATAATACTTACTAGTAGACATTACAGTCGATTTCTGCAATATATTTGTTCAAAGATCAAATCATAAACAAATGATTAAATTATATCACGTCATTGCTCTTTAATATTTAGATTTATAGTATCCAAAAATGTAAAGAAGGAAATATTAAAATGTTTCTTAAAATTTTATAACATAATTTTGCACATCCAAAAAATAATAAAAGGATTTTTATAAAATTTTACATCCTAGATCATTTTCATAAATAAATACATAAATAAATATATGCAAGTCCTTATAAAATTAATACACTAATAAAATTAATTATTTAAACCTTTGATAATAATACTATTCACTTACTTAAATTACTATTTGTAGGATTTGGAATAATGTCCATAATAATGCAATTGTCAAGTCCACTTAAATGGCCATGCAATGGCTGGTGATGAAAATATATGGTTGTGATGTTATAACTAAAAGTAAATTAGATTTTTATAAAGTAAACACCTATATATTTAAAACATAAAGCACTAATTCATTTTATTTCTTTATATTTCCCATCTTGTAAACCACTCAAACCAATGAAAAGCTAAGGAAAATAGAAAACTATATGTATATAATGCTAGAACCAAAGGAAAGATTACTATGAAGAAAAAAGAAGAGGTGGCTAGGATTAGAATTCAGATTTTTCATGTATTCTTCTACAACTCAAAAGTTGAACTTGAGTTGGTAGGCTATGTCTTGGATGAGAAGAAATTTTTTTGTGGTAAAAATATAATTTTGAGTTTATTTTATGTTTGAACAATATTGTTAAAGATGATATTATTATAAAATTAAAAAAAAATTGTTATTAAATTGTATATACAAGAAAAAGACTTAAGGTGTTAGAAATAAGAGCATTTATCCCAAGGAATATTTTGTAATTATGGTGAGATATTCTATTTCTAATATAAATGAAAACGATTCAATGACCTAAAGATTGTGATTGACCACTAAATTAAACTATTATATATATATAAAACAAAAACACTTTAAGTTGTTAGAAATAATAATTATTTTTTTGTAAATATATATATTTTAAAATTATTCCTCAATTTATTAAAGTTGATAGACAAATATATTGCTTTGCTTTTTCCCTTATTTTTTTTAAAAATGTATTGTTAAAAAAAAAAAAAAAAACACTAGCGATATACATCATAGCACATCATTATGTATCAGACAAAATAGTTTGAGTTATATGTCTCATCGAAGCTATTTACTAATTTGGTATTTAAGAGAATTATACATAATTTTAACTAAGAAAGATAAAATGTATATCTACAGTTGCTAATTAAAAGAACATCTATCTTACTCCAATCATAGTAAAGCATTAAAATGATCAATCACAATCAACAATGCAACTTAACTAACAAATAACCCAACTTTCAGAGTGGTTCATAATGCAACACAAGGGATTATCTTGCAAACTATCAACCTAAATGAAATCTTACTATACTAAGTAGTTAAGGGGTTATGAGATATCACATCGTTTTAGCGTGTGCAAAAGTTATGGTTTAATAAGGGCTAACTTATGTAAATATAATTTTTTAAAAGGTTAATTCATTATAAGGAACCCAATCAAGTTATGGCTTCTTATTTTTTTTTCTAATTTTTTTTTTAAATTTTCATTTTGATTATTAAGATGGCATGCCTTAAGTTGATTATATGCCTAGAATAATCATATGAGATTTTTGGTTATGATAGAATAACTCTCATGCTAATTAAGTAACTATCTAATAATGATACACAAACTATCTTAATAGTGAACTATGGTTAGGAGTTATTAGGGTTCATAATATTTACTCATTTAATATGAATATAAATATAAGAAATGATTGAAATAATCAATAATGAAGCCCAAGATTCAAACATTTAAAAGTAATTTAAACATTTGGAAGAGGAAATTGCTCCAAAACATTCAATAGAAGCTTCGAATGTTTTGAGTGTGCCAGTAGTCCAAGAAGAGATCATCAACTTGGAAGGAAAAGAATGGTGTGAATGCATATAATCATCATTGGATAGGGTTCAATCGTTGTGAATGATTGAATAATAAAGTAATTTAATATAAAGAGCATGGTCAGTTCAGGATGAGTTATAGCCAACTATGGTATGATCAATACTCAAAAGACCCTAATAAAGAGGTATCTATAATAATTTGGTTGAGTTAAAACATCATGAATTTATTCGGAATGCCTCAACCAAATATGATTTGGCTGAAGCTTGAAATAGTTTAAAAGTGTATGGATAAATTAAAATTTCTCATGCAAAAAGTGCATGAAAGAATGACAAGGTTGAAATAGTATAATAAAAAGGGCATTATTATACTAGAAATGAGCTTAGCCAAAAGAACATGACCATCCTTAAGTAGTTCCTAGTGTTAAGGGTAAATTATATACTAACTATTGTGATAAAATGCAGAGAAAATATAAAATATTTTGTTTTAGTTATGTTAGTGTAGGAATTATTTAGAAAAAGGCAAAACTTCATAAATGGTGAATGAGAACCGCAACATGTACATTTTTTTTTTTGAAAATTGCATCAACAAATGCATTAAAAGGGAAAGAAAACAAAGTACAGACTAAAGCAGGTGTTCACATTCCTTCTTCAGAAGAAGGCCTAGAGAAGAAGGAATGTTCGCAAAAGAAAAGCTATCAAAGAAAAAATTGTTATCTAAAGCCAAAGTAGCACACATATCGGCTACTTTATTATATTCTCTATGAATATGATTGAAAATTACCTTATTGAAATCGGCCAAGAATAAAAGATTCTCTTCTATCTGATTGAAGCATTGCCACTTCGCCTTATTCAAAGAATTTTGAATGAATTTGATAACGTTGATGTTATCACATTCATTATAAGTCCTTTGCATTCGATCATCCACGGTTGTAGGTACTTTCTGACTGACATCACAGCTTCAAGCTCAAGATCATCAATATCCCAATGAACTTTATTCTCACCAAAAGCCACCAATAGTCTGCCTTTATCATCTCTAAAACAGCCACCAATCCCAGCAACATATGATGGAAGGAGAACCGCATCCACATTGATCTTAATCCATCCCAATGGTGGAGGGTGCCAAACAATTTGAAACTCCCTAGGGAGATTAGCACCCCAGCTAGCAATGAGAGGATTAACAGATAAGAAAGCTGTGGATATCACATTTGTTGTAGTAACCAAAACTGTAATTGTTTCTTTCCCATGAGCCACCTCATTTCTATTTTTCCAATTCCAATATATAACATTGCAATATTTAATAACTATATTAGGTGCAGACACTGAAAGACCTTTTAAATCACGTAGACAGTCCTCCAGGGATTCAAAAATAGGAACAAACAGACCCCAGTCCTGTATTTTCCTCAGCACTTCCTGTAGATGTTTACATTTAACTGCAATATGTGACACATTTTCACTTCCTCCACAACCTCTAGGACAATGATCATCATCACTGTGTTTCCTATATTTCAAAAACTCATTTGTTGGGATTGCACCTCTACTCATTCTCCACCAAAATAGTTCAACTCGTGCTGTTAGTTTCAATTTTTTTAGCCAGGCAGTAAAACCCGAATCCTTCTCACACAATTGACTATTGCAATGAGCCTCAAACGCACGAGCTGTAATAGATTTGCCTGATAATGAATAAATCTTCTCCAGGAAATCTTTAGTAGCATCACTCTCAATCTTGATTTGTAAAATAACAGCAATCAGGTCCTCATTAAAGTAACAGCGTAGATATTCAATCTTCCATGAACCATTTGAATCAATAAAGTAGTTAAGCTTTAAACCTTCTAAGCCCAAACAGTCAGCAGTAATTGGCCATTCATTGAAACTTTTATCTAATAACCATATATCTTTAAGAACATCAATTTTCCTTCTATTAACTACTCTCCACCTCAAAAGCAGTTTCAAGTATCTAGCCCTTCCTGTAATACTCTCTAGGCAACAGAAGTGTTACCTCTGTTATTGTTCTTCCCTAATATGTCTCTATACTTGGCTGAAACAATATGGGATAGCAAAGAGTCATTATTCTGAATAGTCCTCCAAGTCAGTCTAGCTTTAAGAGGCCATGCTCTCTCACTAGCCGAATGGAAGCTCATCCCTCCCTCCTTTTTTGATCAGCAAAGTGTACTCCAAGATACATAGTGCAACCCCTTCTTAGCATTTTTCTTGTTCCAAATGAAATTTCTACAACATCTATCAATTATCTGAAGAATTTTTTTAGGCACCATACTGTGAGTTGAAACAAAGTTTGGAATAGTTAACAGTGAAGTTTTTGCCAGTATAATCTTTCCAGCCAAGGAAAGACACTTTCATCCCCAAGTATTTAGCCTTTGCAAAACTTTATCAATGAGGAACTGTAATTCGAAGTAACCGGTCTTCTAAGCAAAAGAAGAATTCACACGTACATTTTTCATAGTGCAACATTTGCATCTAAAACACCCTAGCACCTAATTCAAACATTATTATTCCGGTGGCCTAAAAATTTTGGGAAGATCAGCACTGTAGTGGAACCAAGTTCAATGCTGTTGCGCTTCACAACATTATTGTACCATAAATTATCATCGCAACACTAGAGTTTTAAGAGTTTAAATGTCAGAGCACTGATCATCATAATGTTGTAGTGCCAAATTGCACTTGTAGGCATCACAATGCTCAAATTTTAAAGTGTTGTAGTAGAGAAGTTGCAAAAATGAGTCGCAACACTAACTAAGTAGAAAGATGCACGATTCAAACATTAACCATGCCAGGTTAGCCTACTACCACTATGATGAAAACATTACAACATGGAGGTGCTAGTCTATTTTATACTATTGTGATGCAACCTTGTTGAGTACCAAAGTTCCTAAGTCTATTTGTGCACATATATAAATAGTTTTTCAGTTATTTTGTTAATGAGTTCTTTCATTTTAGTTGAGTCTTATACTTTATATGTTTTCCTTTTGTTCCACCATAGAGTAAAGTCTAAGGGAGGCTAGGAAAGTGCAAGATACTTTCCGTTGGGGAGATCTTAACCTCTATTATGTAAGCAATTCCATTTTTCGAAGGAGTGTGAATAATATCAATTGATCCTTCCGTGTGACATTTATCTTATTCAGTTTCCTATATCATATTCTTTTGAATGAAATGAATATCAATTTTCTTTCTATGTTATCCATGTCTGGCTAGTCATTAAGTTTTGGGATAATGATGTAAATACATAGCAAGTACTAATGTATACACTTGTGCTTTAAGTTCTTTCATAGATATTTTTAATATATATTATTCTTCATTTAATGCATATAATGACCATATGTGTAGTTAATACCTAATGTGATGTATAGCCTCGATAGAGGAATGCTGGAATAAATAAGATTATTGAAATATTTATTGGAATATCTAGACATAGGGTGCTAAACTTTCAAGATTCCACAGAGATATTAAAAGTTTAGTTAGGCCATAAACCCCTCTTTTCACCCTATAAGCTGAACAGATATCTAGGGATGTACATGCTCTGATCTACACCAATATTTAAGAGTCTCATTAGGAAACATTTCTTATCTAATTCATTACTCCAATATATTTACAAACCTTTTATCATTATCCTTTTAGCTCTTTCTCCACAAGTTGATAGAATTCAACCCTTTAATTTTTTTTAGTAGGATAAACTTTGCATCTATAATAAGTAATACTAAATTGATTGTAATTAAGCAGAAGACTTCCTTGTGGGATTGGCACTATCCCAATTACTTTATTGCTTGATTAACACATATACCTATGTATCTTATAGGAAATTTATATCATATAAATTCTAAGCATCATTTGACCAAAAGCATATTCTATTTCATGTATTAATTTATTTAGTACAACATTTCACAATCGTACATAAAGATTTTGGTGCCATTGCTTGGGAAGTAATTTGCATATTGTAATTTTACTATATTGTTGAAACAAATGCATATTTAAACCTAGTTGTATCTTTTTTTTTTATTTTATTTGATAAAATTCAAAAAACAAAAAAGTATTTTTTTAATTATTTAGTTTTAATTTTTTTATTTTTTATTATTTTATCATTGTTACATGTTTATTAGATCCAATATTGAGCCTTTGTTAATTGATTCAAAAATAGAAAGGATTCTTACAAAAAAAAAAGATTTTAGAGATGTTTAATCCAGTATAAGATCATGACAATTTTAGACCTCTTAGAGAGTATGCTAACCCTTGAGTGGAAGGAATTCATCAGAATATTAATATACCTACTATCCATGCCAATAACTTTGAACTGAAACCTGCCATAATTCAAATAGTTCAAAATTCTCAATTTGGGGAAAATCCTATTAAGTATCCAAACCTAGACTTAGCTATTTTCTTAGAAATTTGTGCAACATTTAAATATAGAGATCTTAGTGATGATGCTTTTAGACTTTGGTTGTTCCTATTTTCTCTAATAGATAATTGGTTGAATTCTTTTCCATTAGCCTCTATAACCACTTGAAATTAGTTGGCACATACTAGCTAAGTATTTCCCACCATAAAAAAATACTAAGCTTAGGAATGATATCACATCTTTTACCCTATTTGAGGGAGAATCATTTATGAAAGCTAGGAGAAATTTAAGAAAATGATTAGGAAATGCCCTCATCATGCTTTGCCTAGTTGGTTAGTAAATTGTACTTTTTATAATGGATTGGTTGGATCCCTTAGGTTAATCATAAATGCAGTAGTTGGAGGATTTTTAATGTTTATGACATTTGAGAAAGTATATGAACTAATAGAGGAAATGACTATAAATAATTTTCACTGACCTTTTGATAGGGTAAATCCTAAGAGGGTAACTAATGTGTATTAATTCGATGCATTATCTAATTTAACTTTACATGTAGTTGTAATTGCTAAAATGTTAAACACTATTGGAGTTAGAACTAGATCACATAGGCATGATATTTATATAAGCCCTATTGTAGAACATAACCGTGTTTAGGCCGTAATGCTTTCCATTAAAGCATTGTAGTGTTACCATTTAGGCTTTGATAAAATCAATTAGTTTGGGAATAGGGAGATATATTTGGATGATATAATAATTCGAATAGGAGTTCAATTATAGGATCAATCTTTAGCCCTTAGAAAAATAAAAAAAACTAGATAGGGCACTTTATTAGCTTGCTAAGTAATCATAAATTAGAGCTGTAATGCATGAATATTTAGTTTAGAGTGGAAAAGATTTAGGGGACCCTTATAAGGATAAAGATTAACCTCCAAAGGATAATGGTGTAGAAGAAAATGTATAAGTCAAATATTCTAATCACCAACCTGAATTAATCTATGAAATTGGAAGACCTATTAACAAGGCTGTAGAGAGACCACCCTTATTTTTTACCCAAAGGCTGATCAAATAAATCTCAGATAAGCAATTCTCTAGTTTCTTAGAAGTGTTTAAAATGTTAACTACCTACATAAACTTCTCTAAAGCCTTAGAGCAGATTCAAACCTAAGCTAAATTCATGAAGGAAATTTTGAATAAGAAAAGGAAGTTAGGAGAGTTTAAAACTATAGTGCTCTTATTCAAAAGAAACTTCCTAAAAGCTAAAAGACCTTGGCAGCTTCATTATTCCCATGATAATAGAAGATAACTTTTGTAGTAAAGCTCTAAGTGATTTAGGATCTAACATAAATCTTATACCCTTATCCATTTTCAAAAGATTAGGTATAGGACTTCAACCCACAATTGTCACCCTTTATCTTGCTAATATATATATCACTTATCCTAAGGGGGTGGTAGAAGGTTTCCTTGTTATGGTAGACAAGTTTATCCCTTTTTATTTTACTATCTTTGACATGGAAGAGGATAAGGAGATACTAATTATTTTGGGAAGACCTTTCTTAGCAATAGGGAAAGCTATGATTAATGTTCACAAAGTAGAGTAAACTATGAGGGTTCAAGATCAAGAGGTGACCATTTATGTTTTTGAAACCATGAAGTTCCCTGAGGAAAAGAATAAATATTATTTAGAGAAGATTTGGAAGGAACAATAGAAGAAAACTTTAACGAAGAATTGTTAGGGAATAATTCCTTAGAAGAAGATTTGAGGAAAATGGCGAGGACATAAGATAATTTGCTAAATCTATTGGAGATACTGTTAAAATATTTAGAGGAAGATTTGAAACTTTAAATACTCCATTTGTATGGAGAACCTTAATCCATATGTAGAGGAAGCCGCTATTTAGACCTTAAGGTCTTACCCATCAATTTTAAGTATGAATTTGTAGGAAAAGATTCAACTTTGATTGTAATAAATTTTTTAAGCTTGGAAAAATAATAGAAGGGCAAGTTGATTAGGGTTTTTGATAATTATAACAGGGTTTTGGTTGGTCTATTATTAATATCAAAGGACTTATCCTCACACATTAATTGGATGGAACTTTAATGGAGGCTAATTCCGTACCAAAAGCTGATTCTCAATGAAGACTAAACCAATCTATAAAAGATGTTATAAAAAAGAAGATACTTAAATAGCTAGATGATTAAATTATTTATCTTATTTCATATAGTGCTTGGGTGAGTCCTATTCACTATGTACTATTTAGTGTTGAATTTTGAAAAAGATGTTTTGAAAAGTTTAGTTTTCATTAGAAAATTTGACTTGGGAATTTCAATCTTAAAGTCAAACACATAAGTATGAATGATATATTACCACATGAGGCAAATATATCATTTCCTAATGGGTTTAGATAATGAAGCTGAAATTTCACCCCGATTATAAATGTCAAATCTAAGGAAGAATTAGATATGACCCCGAAGGGGCAAAATAATGTTCTATCTGTATTTAATTACTATAACTCGGATGAAACATCATTATTTTCACATTCAAAATTACTAAGATAAATGCTATATCTCCCCGACGGATGAAGATATCATCTATTATCGATCATCTAAATATGACAATAATGATCGTAATTGATTTTGATTTTTCCAAAAGAAAACTAATTCAATTATGAAAATTAGATGTGGGCTCAAAAATTTCTATGAGTGCAAGCCTTGTAGTTAATTACATTATAGGGAAGTTAACTTCCCCATGAATACTCTTGATTAGAATAACTATAATTTTTTTTTTAGATTTTCATGGAGTGATATAAAATGATGTGAGTTTAGAATTTCAACTAGGATTATATCAAGTTTGTGTTGCAAATCTAATTTTATGGATTAAAATTTTTATGATAGCAAACATTCATATTTTTGTACAACTACCTTGCTACTAACATTTCAGGTCCACAAGATCAGACTGCAATTTGAACCAGCTCAAGATTGGGTAGATTGGGTCTGAGTCAGTTTGTAATTTTTTTCCTTTCTTGAGTCTATTATAAAAGATGTGGTTCCTGATGCTAAGTAACCTTGCACACACACATATGGGGGAAAATTTCTATCTGTTGGTTAGAGTTCTATATTTTGACCACATCATCTGGGATGATCCAAATATCGTCCTGAGTAATAAAAAACCTAAATTAGGGCATCCTAGTTAAGACAGCCGTTATTAAGCACATCATCCTGGTCATCGGCTACCTTATATTAGTATTGTCCGAAATGATAGGCTCAAATAAGAAAGAATCAGCTGCCAGATCTATTTAGATATTCTTTTTTTTTGGACATCGGCTAGGACATCAGCATGGATGATACAATATAATTATGCTTAAATTAATCTGGTAATTAAGAAAAGCAATTAAAATTTGATTGCATGATCACATCGTCTGGGACGATTGCAGGATCATCCAGGATGATCGCTTGGATGATTGACATTGACCAGCTTCTAATTAAGGCGATGTTCAGGACGAGTTTTACAGATTTGAACTAATCGTCCAGGATGATCGTGAGATCGACCTGGATGATCAAGCTATTTTTTCATTGTCCAGACATCCTTTTAGAGTGATTGTCTGGACGATATTCAAGGAATTGTACTGATCGTATAGGATGATATTATATTGGTCTTGATGATATGACAAAAAATCTTATAATCATCCCAAACCAACCAGGCTGATTGAGCAAAATTTATGTTGATCATCCAGGACGATATCCATATCATCCTGGACAATAAAGTCAATTTTGATAAAATAAGAGCTATTTTAAAACTTTTTTATTAAAGAGCTCTTGTTCTACCCAAGAGCTATCTTTTGCTGCTGTTCTAATCTGAGAGAGCTAAGAGGAGAGGGAGAGAAAGGGGGAGTGAGAGAGGATCTTGTGAGGGGGTGTTTATGAGGGAGTTCACAAAGGTTGCTCCAAGTAAGGATCCGTCGTTGTCTTCTCCAATCATCGTCTTCTCCAATCGTCATCCTTAGTTCCTTGGGGGTTCTAGAGAGGTAAACTTCAGCATCTGATCAAGGTTCTTTGCCTGATTTAGGAAGAAGTAAAAGGACTTGGGTTCTCTACCTACTTCAGGAGGAAGCAAAAGGAGTTTGGTCTTTGCTTGCTTTAGGAGGAAGCAAAAAGAGTTTGGTTTTCTACCTGCTTCTGGAGGAAGCAAAAGGAGTTGGGTTCTCTTCCTCACCTAGTGTGGTGAAAAGGAGATTTGTATAGGCTTCTTCACCCTATTGTGGGGGCAAAAGGAGAGACAATGAGTTTGGTACAATACTTGGAGGGCGCCTCCGGGGAGTGGATGTAGGTCGTGTTAACCAAACCACAATAAGTTTGTGTGTTCTATATTACTTCTTCCATATTTAATTTTCACACTTTAATTTCTATAGTGAATCTTAGTTTTTGTTTTAAGATTATGTTTTGATCGAAAGTGTTTTTAAAATACCAATTCACCCCCCTTTTGGTTAGCAATGAGACTAGTTTATAAGGGCTTAACATCCATAACGAACTTTCAAGTGGTATCAGAGCACTTTCAAGTGGTATCAGAGTGGGATTCATAAAATTAAGTTTGAAAACTTTTTGAATTTTGATTTGTAGCTAACTTTGGTAATCGTAATACAACAGAAGGATATTATATTACACGTCCACCTTTGTTTGATAATATTCCTTTTGATTTTTAGAAAACTCGCATGTCTATATTTTTATAATAGCTTGATTATCGTATGTGGATGCTTGTTAAAAAAGGTTATACACCACCTTCTTGTGAACTTAATGGCATTAAAATTTAAATTCCATTTACCAATTGGATGTTTGATGAAAGAGATTTAGCACAACTTAATGAAAAATGCTTAAACTATTTTTTCTGTTCTTTAAAATTTGAAGATTATATGCGTGTTTCAACTGTGCAACTAGTAAAAAAATTTGGGATAGATTGTGTATAATTTATGAAGGAATCAATGAAGTTAAATAATCTCGATTGAATATTTTATTGCATGACTACAAACTCTTTTGTATGAAACCTTCTGAGTCAATTTCTGATATGTATACAAGGTTTACTCAAATCATTACCTCATTGCATGCTTTAGCGAGAGAGCTAACTAATTATGAAAGGGTCAATAAATTTTTGAGATGCTTGCCTTCTTCTTTTAATGCTAAGATCATTCTAATTACTAAATCTAAAGATTTGAATACTTATTCGATTGATAACTTACTTGGATCACTTATTGCTTATGAGCAAGGGGTAAATCAAAGAAATCTTGATACATGTGTGAAAAAAAGGAGAAAACTGTGGCACTAAAAGCCAAC